GGCCAAAACGTTTTGGCCCTCTATCCCAGAGGGTCATGGGTGGAACGATAGGATGCGTCAAGCTACGATGAAGGCAAAGCACAAAGGTTTTTATTCGGCTGTCGCTTATAATAAACAGCAGTCACGACCTTCAGCAACTACAGCCTTTCAATGGGGAGGATGCATCGCGACAGTACTTAGTCAGGTCTTGCACCGAGCTAAAGAATCAGGGAGCGATTCGACGGGGCTGGGACGGTGGGCTTATGTTCGTCTTCAAGGAAAAAAGCTGAAGGCGCAGGGGGGTGATGATCACTCCGGCTTGGTGCTAGACGTAAATGCGGCGGTCCGACGCCCGATTTCACGTGATCTAGTGGTTGTCTCGGCATACAGGCCAAACAGAAAAGGTACTGGGGAATCGACCGTGTGGGCCCAACAACGTCTATACTTTAACTCTATAAAACGTAAGATTGATCCGCGCAAAGCATTGGTTGATGACTTGTGCAAGCAAATTCAAAAGTGGAGGGACGAGGGTTGTGAAGTTTTGCTGGGGATTGATGCTAACGAAGACCTTTTGGTCAACTCCCCGGACTCCATACGACAGCGGTTTTGTGAGTGCGGAATGGAGGAAGCGATTTTGAAACGGCATCCCCCCACGGCGACCCACCAACGAAATCAAAGCAACGTTCCCATCGACGGAATCTTTACCACTTCAGGTGTTCCGGTTCTGGCTGGTGGCTACTACGCATTTGGTGAATTTGTTGAAGCAGACCACAGGGCACTATGGATCGATATCGACTTGAACACGGCTTTGGGTAATTTCACACCCCAGGGGTCTACCTTTAAACCTCGCAAGCTCACTCTTTTGGATAAGCGGTCGGCTAGACGCTATCTTCAACTGGCCCACTTGGGTTACGAGGAGTATGACATCCCGTCCCGTCTTACCAAGCTCAATCAGCGCATTGAATCCAATGGACGACAGATGTCACCCTCGCTGGGATACCCCGCAGTTTGTCCTAGATCCGGGTTTCTATGATTTCTTTTTAGTCCGTATGGTCATTTTCACCCTTTTCTGCATTAGTCTCTCATGATGAAATTGACTTAGGGCAAATTAAAAGCGACCAGTCGAGTATTTAACAAGCAGAAATTGCGTTAATTCTTCCACCACTGTTTGCTCTAGTTCGCTCGTCATGCATTCGCCGAAGCGGAAAATCACGAATTGTCGTAAAATGCCGAAATTGTCGTAAATTCCCAACAAGAAATCTACGACAATTCTAACGGTAATTGAGTACAATTGACGACATTTCTAAAGGTAATTGAGTACAATTGACGACATTTCTAACGGTAATTGAGTACAATTGACGCCATTTTTAACGGTAATTTAGGACAATTGAAACAGTAATGGGGGACAATTTTAACGGCCTCGATCGTGCTAACTGAACCGTTTTTTTTAAATTGAAAATGTGAGCCTCGCTCGGAAGCAAGTGATCGGTGGACAATGAAAGTACTGTAAATCATTGGGATGGTTGGAAAAGAAGTGACACCGGAACAGGTGCTGATCTACGGATTTGAGACAATTGGCAATCTACCTACGATTACCACTGATGACTACACGGAGCACAACATCGGTGTTTTCTTGTCCAGTATGCGATGGACCATGGGCATCCTATCTTTGAAGCAAATACTGTACCACCAGAGTGAATAAACTAGGGTGTCTTT